AGAGCCCGGCCAGACGACTGCCAGTCCCTCCCGTCCCCACTCTGCCTGGAGGAGGCGACGCGTCCTAACGGAAAGTTGTGCTGGTCGCTCTCAGAGCCCCCATTACCCCACCTGTGGCTGGAGTCCTGGCACCAGCTGCCCGGGCATTTTCTCGGGCTGGTTTGAATCGGTTCACTGATACCTAAGCCTTCCCTTCCTCTCTTGACTTGTAGTACGAGGGGTCGGCCATCAGGAACCCGGCGTTATCGTGGCCCCAGGTCGCGTCCCCCTGGCAGAGGAGCAGGGAGAGTGCATCGCTGAGGGCCTGGGCTTCCCCGCGGTGGAATCCCGACACTGAGGGGGGTGCCCAGCCGGAGCAGCGGCTCCTTCCATCCAGTGAGGACACCAGGGGACGGTCAGAACCCACGAAAGTCTTAAATGACCTTGCGTACCCCACATTCCAGCCTCAAGCCTGGAAACTGCCCTATTTCAGTTGCTGAATTTCAGTAAAATGACCGTTAAGATAGTTAATAGTTCTATGGGACTCACTATTAGTTCCAAGAACGTAAGGTATATCGTTCTAACTCTCACTGCATCCAGGAGGGAGGTTTGTAACAGTGTTGCCCCATATTTTAAACGAGGAAACGGAGGCACGGATTAAGGGGTTTCCCAAAGGTCACTCCACGGTCAACTGGTGCCCCTAAGTTCAAAGGAGAAAACTGGCCCCAGAATCATGGCCCTCTTCTGGTGTGCCTCCCCCACCGGAGGGGTTCATCGTCTCTTCTCACCCTAGGACCTGAGCACTGGCACAAGGACTTCCCCATCGCCAAAGGGGAGCGCCAGTCTCCGGTTGACATCGACACGCGGTCAGCCAAGCATGACCCTGCCCTGAAGCCTCTGTGCCTGTGCTATGACAAACCGGCTTCCCGGAGAATCCTTAACAATGGTCACTCTTTCAACGTGGAGTTTGATGACTCCCAGGACAAAACAGGTCAGTGTGTAAAAAAATAACATGTGTCTTTGATCCAGGGGCTGTTTTTCCAGCCTAATGAAAGGGTGTGTGTGTGGGGGGGGGGAAGTGGCAGGAGTCCCGTTAGCAGTACAGTTTGTCTTCGCGCTCTGACCTGCCAGCCTGATCGTCTTCACTGGGTCCCAGACTCTGAGAAGTAGGCTAATTATACTTTGTCCTGTCCTGGGGCGCCTGCTCTGCTGTAAAATGCCTGGCTTTTATGTAGGGCATGGAATAACACTGATGTGCGGTGAAAAGTCACAAGAGGTAAGGTTCCCTGGCAATGAAATTTCCACCCAAATGAGATGTTCAAAAAATGAGCTTTGAAGATTCTTTCTGAACTACTGGTCTTCCAGAAGTGCTGCTAGCTAGTGAAAAGTGTCCATCTTAGTGAGGGGTCAGGGGGTGGCAGAGCAGCGAAGCAACTGGACTGATGGGGACAGATCCTGGGTTCATGTCTTGGGACTTCTCCAGCCAGCTGAGACTGGGGGTGATCACTGTGGAGGACCACATGGGGGTTACTTTCTCCTCTCTCTCATGGAAGAAATAATAGATAAACTTAAAAAAAAAGGATCTTAGTGAGCCTTATCTTCAAAGCAGCAGTTGTATTTATGAATATTTCTCAGTAGTGGGCCAGTGTGATAAACAGCAGAGCTTCTTGGTATCTACCCAGAAATTCTTTCCACAAATGAAGATGTGTTGGTGGACATCTGTGGCCCGTTATGACAAAACCAATTACCGCCATTTATCTGTAATGAAGCTGTTTACAAGGATGCCCCCGGAAGGCTGCTTTTTACTAACTCAGGAACCTGAGAACAATCCCATCCAAATATAGTAGCTCCCTTTCCCTGTTTTCTGGTTGATTTCATTGCCAGTGCCCTATTTCTCTGAGTGTTTTCCTCGGGAGGTCATTGAATGAAATGGTGCTGCACACTGTTTGGTAGTAGTGGGAGTGGGGTTAGAGGATGTCTGAGTGGAATGAGAGGGTAGAGGAGATATTCAGTAAGGCTCTCGACGTTTTGGAGTAATGACCTACAGTACCAATATTTTATCCAATAGATAATTATAGCGACGATAGTCAAGATGACTGTTCTTTTTCAGTACCTCTATACTATTATCGTGCCCTGTACAGTTTCCTTTTTTTTTTTTAGTTTCTTCTTCTTTCCCTTCTTTATAGTTTTTTTTTTTTGATACTTGGCTTTCTGAAACAGTAATTTGGAAAGTCAATTCGATGAGGATAATGTGGCGATATCTGAGAGCTGTCTCACCCTACCTCTGCCTGCGTGCACTCCCCCACTGTACTCACATCCACACACTCACTCTTACACATTTCAGCACATGAATTGTTAGAATCGAGTAGAGGGTGTACCTTACAGGCACACCTTTAGTGATTCTAGTACTTTGTCTTCCCAAGCATACCTCCCACTCAGAAGAATTTATGCTCAGATAATTAATTTAAACACACACAAAGACTCCAATTTTTTTCCTTTCACATAAAGAAAAAAAGGGGGCAAGGCTAAAGGTCTCAAGGTATTATAAATACAGAAAAGATGCTATAAAATGTCATATTGAGTCATATCAAAACCAGAAGAAGTGAGCTACTTTTATGCTGTAGCGATCAGATTGTTCTAAAAGTCACAATGAAACTATTGTTTTGTCCACCAAATTATATACCTCATAGAACATTAAATAGAAATTGGATACTTGAAGTATTTTGGGAAACAGTAAGGAAACCAATGGAACCAGATGAGATAATACCCTATATTCTTTAAAAGTCTATTGTGAAATAAATTGGTTCAGTGTGATCCATGACTGGAAAGTGGGTATCAGCATGCAGTCTAATGACTACATGCGTAGACTGGGTCAGACAGACCTGGGGACAGACAGACCTGGATTCAAGTTCCAGTTCTGCTGCTAGCTAGCTCTGTGATTTGGGTAATGATAGTAAGAACCTCTCTATGTTTTAAACTAAATTTGGAGTCAAATAGTATCTGCCATAGAAGAAGGAATCAATAGGACACTAGACATGTAGCACCTCGCCCCAGTGGCCGGCACATGGCAATTCCTCCATAAATGATCAGTGCTGTTGTCATGACTACACTGTTTGCCTTCACTGGGTAATTGATGTAGCTGTCACAGCTATAAGATTTCTGAAGAAACTTTTTATTTAATTAACTTTAAGATTAGCTTGTGTCACCTGATGATATTCAAAATTTTTGTTTTTCTATATTCAAAAATATTGATCATAATCTGTATGTACTTACTTTATATATGAAGTCATTATATAGTTATGTTAAGTATGCCTGGGTTCCCATGTGATTAATAACTGATAAGAGTTACCCACAATTTTGCAACTGTTTTTTTTTCTGATTAAAATCAAGTGAGTTAGACAGGGACGCCAACCCATGCCTTTAGAGACACATGTATTATCCAGCTAGTTTTTATTTATTTATTTTTATTTATTTTTTATTTTTGGAGAGGTTTTTGCTATAAGGGTGCATGTGCTCACCAGGAAGAGAGAGACACAGAGAGACAGAAAGCAAGAAATCACCCCCCAGGAGGGGATGACCACGCCACAATCCTTCTCTATGCTTCTCTCAGGACCTTGGGCACGCACATACATGCGCCTGGTGTGAATTTAAGCCACCGGGTCCGAGACTCGAACCGTGGCCGACTACGTGGGAGTACAACGAGACATAGTCATTACGCTAACTGCTGGTCCCGCTAGTTTTTATTTTTTTTTATAAAATATGTTGCTAACACCAATTAAATGCATGTAAACCAAACATCATAAAGGCAAGATGGAAACCTTTTCCCTTTCCTGTATCCCCGGAGCCCATAATGGGGATATCTAAAGCAGAAAGACATAGAAATAGCACAGGCAGTCACTTCCGAGAAGTGCAAAAAGGAAGTATTCCATGGAGGAAACATGAAGGAGGTTTAGGAGTCTAACTGCACAAGTCCGGAAAGACTTTGCAGGGTAAATGAGGCTTCTGTGAAGGCTTGAAGGATTTTGATGTCTTGGACAAGATTTCAGGCAAAGAGAAACAGGAAATGTCAGGGGACTTAAGAAAGCACAGGGTATGCTTTAGAAAGACGAGAAGCTGTGGTAAAGCAGGGGGCAGGAATGACTATTAGAAAGATTTGTTCTCTTTTGCATATGAGAGACTTCTTCATAATTTTGCCTATATCTTTTTCTCATTTCCAGTTATTTTGGTTAAACAAGGATGTAGAAAAACGTTGAAATTTTAGTATTAAGGGAAAACACTTTTACAGAATAAATAAAAACAATAATCATACTACGTGGAAAAACACAATTTAGGCTTAAAAAAGTAAAAGAACCAGAGTAAATGGAGAAACATGATTTAGACTTAAAAAAAAAAAAAAGAACCAGAGTAAATGGTAGCTACTCTAGTCAAACCTGCTTAAAATAAACTTGAAGAAACTGAAAGCTACAGAGTTTAAAGGACTTGGTAAGTCTTCTTCCTAGTTTGCTAGAGAGACTAAATGGCAATAGAAATAGAATTTGATTAAGAATCTTTAAATGACAGTCACAATTAACATTGTTTGTCAGTACGTATCTTAAAAAATTCATATACTTTCTTTACACTTAGTCTAGAAATGACCTGTTCATTTTGGTCACTCAATTTTTTTAAAACAACAATTTAACATCTTTTTTCTTCAGACTTATGTAATATGGTGTTACCACTTTCAGATAGTTTTTACCTCTTATTTTCTGCATTTAAATGCTTTGGTTTATTTTCTTTTTTCACCCCTCAATGAGATTTTTAGCCATCTAGAAATTCTCATAGATTCAGGTTTTCCAGTATGGTTTTATCTTAAATCCAAACTTAGGTACTTGAGTATCAGGAACTAAATGGGTTGAGTTTATTCCTATGTTTAAGCTTGAGAGAATTCTTTTTCCAATGTGGGCTTAATAGGCTTTAACTAGAAACTCGGGGTAAAGCTCTCACCAATCTTCTAAATTCCTTTAAAAATAAATCACCTTAAATTAATGAAAAATTGCTAATCCTGTTAGGTCTTTTTAAAAATTATTAAAAAATAACTCTCCCTGCTTGAGATGTTTTATTGCCAGCTTTATCTGGGAGAAAAGAATAGTTAAATTATTAACTCTTGCTAACTTATTAACTTTTATTAATGAATTTAAAACGCTCTTGTTTTATTGAAAAGTTAGAGGCAAATATATTGAAAGCAAATGCCCAAATTATTAAACCAACTCATATACAGACTCTCATATCATTTCTGTTTTTTTAGAAATTGGAATTTTTGAAAATCTCTTTGTATCATATCAAGGAGGAAAAAAAAAGAAAAAGAAGAAAGATGAATAAATTTACCTGTGCTCATCTTGCAAACCACTGTCTGTATGATTAATAATCCTTTATAATAGATTTTCAGACATAGATCTTGCTTTATTTTCAGGGACTTGCTATGGGAACTTTAAAATTTTCTTTCCTCAAGCATCTTAAGGAAGCATACAAACAACAAATGAAAGGGGTTTGTCTTGCACACAGTTTATAATTCAGCAGAATCCTAAGTATCTAGAAAACTGACCAAAGCATTCCAAACCTTGTAGTTAATTATGTTCATGTCAAAAGAGCTTCTCTCTCTCTCTCTCCCATTGCCAAGGGTGTGTGACTTGCCTGAAAGAGTAAGAGAGAAACAGAGAGAGACAGCACTTCCCTACGGGGCATTGGTAACTCCACAATCTTTTTTTCCTCCATTTCTCTATCCCACCAGGACTTGAGACACACGTGCACATATGACTCGCATGTTTTTCAAGCTATCAGGGCCAGAATTCCAACCACAATTGTTCATGTGGTATCCGACTCCCTGTGTACAGTGCTTACCTGCTGTGCTTTGGAACCAGCCCGAGAGCTTCTCTTACTCATATACAAGGAGTCTTCAAAAACGTTCATGACAAGACACATAGTATAAAAAGAACAATGCATCAATTTCAATTTTTTGCACCAAAATATGGTCATACTTTCATTCTCTTTTTCCTTGAAATTAAAAAAAAACATTTTATTAACATTTATTTATTTACATTCATTCACTGAACATCATTGTAGCATACAAAATGAGATTTTCCATCCAGAATACACTATATATTGGCTCAATCAAGCACATCAACATACGTGTTATCGTCAACAAATAATCTTCCATTCCTTGAACTTTTTGAAATCCCCTCCTGTAATTGCCATGTAGCTAAAACCAAAACTGCTCTTGAATTTTGATTCTTTATTCTAGTGACAGTAACTGCTAGACATTTTATTACTTTAAAAGAAATAGCATATGAGCATCTTTTTCTCAGATTTGTCTTCTTGACATTCATTTTCTTAATATAGTATGTCTTTAGGATTATTGGCTTCTGCCAAAAAGCAAGACAGGGATGCATGATTTAAAAACATTGCAGGTTATTCATTGAGAAGATTGTTCAGCTTCTGGAAACCCATGTTTTCAGTAGAATTATTCATAGGCCTCATTAATAGGAAATCGCTTAACTAAGGGTTATTATGAGTAGTTTATTCATATTTTGGATTTAAGAGTGATTATTTATATCCATTAAGGTTTTTAGTTATTTGAATATATCTAATTATACAGTAAAATGTATATAAGAAAAGGTTGAAAAATGATAAATTTTCTATTTTTATTTTATAAAAGTAGCCTTTTTATCTAAATATCACTGAATCCATTATTTTCACAAATAATACACAATTTACATAATTTCCCCAAGTAATATATATACATATGCACACACACATGTATGTATAGGAAGACAACTTATTCCATAATATCCCCTGGTGCCTATTTTGTGTTATATATTTAGTGTGTATAACTGATGATAGATCATGAAAATTAAAATCAGCTGGAGCTCCTAACATTGAGATTTGAACTTAAATAAAAAATGTTTGAATCATTAGAGATAAAAACTTCATTTATATATCTTCTACAAAACATTGATTTCAGAGAGTGCCATTAACATGATTGGGTTTTACAGAGAAAAAAATATGCAGATATGAATTTGGGCTATTTCTAAAAATTACTTATGGATGAGCAAAACAGGTATCATGTTAAATTGGAAGAGTTGAGAAAATGTCAGGTAGTGGTCAAATAAATAAATACAAATAAATAAATCAGTAGTTGTAGAATATAGCATAAGCTCCCTATCTTTAATCAAAATACTGTCTTACATGTTTCTCAAATAAAGGAGTATGCTACCTTTATTAGGGTTTATGACCTTTCATTACAGTTCTTATAAGAATGTTTTTGAGAGACTTTATTGACTAAACTCGATGCTCAAAACTTGCCAAAAATAACCACCTAGTTGAAGACCAGAATACTGCTTTCCATAGCAGCTAAACTAAACTTGAAAGATTTAATAATCTTTCCTAATTACACTATGTTTCTAATCTTTTAGAAATAAGCTTGTTATTTATTTATATTTTCCCAAAGAAAGATTAAGTAGATTTCTAGTGACAATAGATTAGCACTGAATATATTTAATCTTTGTAGTCTCAAAGTACTTTTTTGTCTGTTTTGTTTTAATATAACAACCCTGCTTAATGAAAACTCATATATACTCTTGCTCAATTCTAGATGTTCTCTGAAGCAAGTAAATTATAATTATAATAGAATTTTTTAAGTTCTGCAAGTGAGAGAATAAGATGAAATAGCAATAAGCTTTATTCTCTTTAAAATTTAAAATACCGATATGTCTTCACAGGGAAAAAGAGATACAGTAAGAAAATCAGTTATCTGAGATATTTCATATGCTTTTATTTAATTCGTTTTGCCATTTGGTAGAATTAATGATGTTACAAATGGCATTTGTTTTTTATAATCAGCCAGTTGGTTATTACTTTTAAAGTCATTACACCTTCATAATACTTCTTTTTCAGTATTAGTTTATTTCATGAATATGTGTTTCATTTTTTAAACATATATTTCATGTTATGAAAAATGGGAAACATTTTGTAATTAAAAAAGCCTAGAATTGGGGGCTAAGACATTTTTCCTTGCACAATTCTTTTTACCTAAAAAGGAACTTTTACAGTAAATTGTTCTTATGTTTTAGTTATCAGAATATATTCAAATTCATGTTTCTTAACAGATGTGTGATATAGCACCGTTTATAATTTGTTTTATTTTCATTCTTGCTTTTATCCTCTCGTCTATTGTAAGGCAGAACTATTGGATAGTGATTGTATTAGGCACCGTTTGAAGGTCCCATCATCTAAATATCTTCCAGCCAGCTCTATATTTTATTTAAATAGATTCAGGGGTTTTTCTATCATCTAAGTTTGTCTAGATGAAGTTGTACAAACTGAGTTATACAGAACTTGTTCCTTTGTTTTGCAAAGCCAAAATAAGTTTGAGTTTTTTTATTCAATGGGATTATAAATCAAAGATAATAAAATACATTTAGAGCAATCTACATTTTAATCCCAGTACTATAGAAGTAAAATTAAAGCAGTAAAGCTAAACTACTTTTAAAAGCTTTTAAATACATCATTTATATCCCATTATACATATAATTTTGGTAAAAAGTGTTTGGGATAGAATAGGAGAAATACTTTTTCCCCATTATTTTATCTTCTTTCAAGACACAACTAGTTAATTATCTAAAGATAAGTAATTTAGCATGTGATTTCTAGTATTGACTTTATGAAGTTACAAAATTATCAGAATAGTATAATAGTGCTTAAAGTTAGAATTTAAAATTATTAAAATTCTTTTTGATTTTTTGAGAGGTTTTTGCCATAGGGCGCATGTGCTCACCAGAGAGAGACAGAGAGACAGAAAGCGAAAAATCACCCCCCAGGGGGGATGGCCATGTCACAATCCCTTCTCCTCCATTCTCCTCTCGGGATCTTGGGCACACATGCACACGCGCCCGGCATGAGTTTTAAGCCACTGGGTCCGGGACGCAAACCGTGGTCGGCTACGTGGGAGTCCAGCGACATAGCCATTATGCTAACTGCTGGTCCCAAAATTCTTAAAATTCTTAAGTACTTAAGTAATTGAGAGCACATTACACTACATACAGAAGCTGACCCATAAATTATTAGTGAAATGATAACTGAATGTATCCATTTTACACTTAAAGAAATTAAAGTAGAAGAGGTTCAATAAAACTCTCAAGGTGACAAAGTTAGCAGCAGTGACAATTCAAAATTTGGCGAAATTTGGCCTGTGTAAGGCCAGTTGGATTTTACATTGTTAAGATCAATGGAATGCTTGCAGTTTCACAAATTCTGGTGAGTAAGAACTGCTGTCAAAGATTAGCAAAGAGGACCGTGGGGCAGTCGTCGGAACACGGTGGTGGAAAAGCGGTTCCCGTGTTTGCAAGCGTGTGCAGCAGGCCAATGCACTGGCAAGGGGCTGCATGTGCACTTCCTAAATGTTCTCTGAGAAATTATTAGTTCCACTTAACATTCTGGGCCAGAACCTATGACTCCGATACTGGCACAGGAGGAAACGCTGCAGGAGTTGTATCACTCTACTCAGAAATCTACTGTGGGAAAAGCATCCGTCCTTCCACCAGCATGCGAGGAAAACAACCAGTTGAAATGATTTTGTTAAGCACTGTATATAAATCTGAGTGTGGATTTAATTTCCACAGAGCAAAATGCTAAAGGCATACATTTGGTACTATAAAGCATGGTTAAAGATGGAGTATTTCATAGTGTGTGTTTTGTGTGCACACGTATGTGTGTGTCTACATACAAATGTGCAAACATATATCTATTTGCTTCTAGTGCTGAAAGAAGGACCTCTTGAAGGCACTTACAGATTGATTCAGTTTCACTTCCACTGGGGTTCGTCTGATGGACAGGGTTCTGAGCACACTGTGGATAAAAGGAAGTATGCAGCAGAGGTAAGATGATACTTTTTTTTCTTTCTAGGGAAAAATGATTGTAAATTGACAGCACTAATTTTACAAGCTTAACTTTATAAATTCAATTGACACTGAATCAACTACCTCTTTTACAAAGGCCCATCACATTTGTTTTTGTAAGTTTTTTTGTTGTTGTAGAGCACATGAACTCCCTGGAGAGAGTCAGAGAGAGAGCAAGAGAGTGTGAGAAAGCACTCCTTTAAGGGGGATGGATGGCCACTCCACAGTTCTTCTCTATTTTTCTCTGAGGTTTGGGCACCCACGCACACACACACACACGCACGCACACACACACGCACACACATACCCACTCCTGGTTCAATTTTTAAGCCACCAGGTCCGGGACTCAAATATTTTTCTCTGAGGTTTGGGCACCCACGCACACACACACACACGCACGCACACACACACGCACACACACACGCACACCTGGTTCAATTTTAAGCCACCAGGTCCGGGACTCAAACTGCACAGTGGGCCATGTAGTATCTAGCTTCCTTAACCCCCAAGCCACTTGGCTACTCCACTTTTTATAACTATGAATTGTGACATTATAGTTAAGGCTGAAAATTTTTTTATAGTCATGAAAAACACTATTTGCAGAGAGTAAATGTATTCAAAATGGAGGATCCTGTTTTAATATAAATCTAGAAATAAAATTTGTGCTTTCTCTCAAAACTATTCATTTCTTAGAATTGACGAAATCACTTACTCTTTTTTTTTCAAAGAAATATTTATTTAATTTTATTTATTCATTCATTTATTTTAATCGGACCAGAGAGAGATAGAGAGACAGGAAAAGCAAGCCACCAGGTCCAGGACTCAAACCACAGTCAGCCATGTGGGAGTCCAGTGCCCTTAACCACCATGCCACCTGCTGGCCCCAGAAATCACTTACTCTTATACCAAGTAGTACATGACTAGAATTTAAATGAAAGTTTTATTTAAGATTATCCACCTTTTCAGTTTCTTTAGTAACTATTAGCTATGGTTAACCTTAAAAGGTAAACTAAGATCAAAAATGAAAAGAGAAAGGGATTTTATTTGTGTGTAAATGTAACGACTGCAGTCAGCCAGCAGCCAGAAGAGCATAATTAAGTAGCTTCATACATCCTCACTGAGGTCTTAGGTCCTCAGACAGGTTTAAAGCCAAAAACGAGGGGTGGGGGAAGGCTTGTCATTGGATAAAATCTGTAGGCTTTCCCTATGTAAATCATTCATTGTGGTTTTGTGTCCTATGGCTTTAGCTTCACTTGGTTCACTGGAACACCAAATACGGGGATTTTGGAAAAGCCGTGCAACACCCTGATGGATTGGCTGTTTTAGGTGTTTTTTTGAAGGTAAGTTGATGGCCTAATTCTTTTTTTCCTGTTTTCAAGAAAGATTAGCTCAATAGAACATTCATAACAAACAGGGCATTCTAAAGGAGAGCCTAGGAAATGCCTCTGGCTTTGAAGTATTTTCAGGCTTATTTTCCCCTCCATGTCTGCTGGTAGCAGAGGAGACTGAGAACAGAAGGGCAATTTGAGAGAGATTCACTAGGTGTTATTTAACTATAAATGAGAGAGGCAAACCTTGGGTGATTACTAGGTGTTTGTGATAGACAATGGCAAAGTAAGGTCATGTTCTAGAAGGGTGAAGGACAGTGTCTGGGTATTATTGGAGACTTTCAGGCAACAGTGGGACGTAAAGGCTGAGCTGTCCTCTAGACTGTTGTACGGGAGTGGACAAAGGTCTGGACTGAAGATTCATGAGCCCTGACATGTTTTGAGGTAGAAGCTACAGTGTCTGTGAGATCATCCTAAGGCATCACAAAGAAGGTGATAAAGCTGTTTGGGTGCAAACCGGAGAAACTGCAAAGTGTCGGGCAATGCTTTTGGCTCCAGAGTATTTTCAGCATTATTGTTCCTTCCATTCCTACTAACCAGTGGAGATAGAGCCAAAATCCCCATATCTACAGGGAGAGAAAACCAAAGGAGAAAAGAATTAAAATACAGGGAAGACAATAGCATTAAATCTTGCAAGGAGGTTAAGTAAGGTGAGCACTTAAAAAATACATTGGGGTCTTCAAAACCTTTGTATAAATTGTATATTATGACAAAGCAATATAGGGACTTTTGATCTTTTTGTACTGTAATTCCATTTTCCATGAAACTTTTGAAGTCCTCCTGTATTCTTTGCTTTGGCAGTTGGAAGTCACAGGGGACATGCGAGAGAGTAGTTTCAGGGGGACGTAGAGGGGTAAGCAGAGGCAGGTTGAAGATGGAGCAAAAGTCGGGAGGTCTGTGATGTGAATGTTATTGAGCAAAGACCGAAAGCTGGCATGTATGAAGTAGTGGATTTTGGTTCATAATTTGGAGAAATTTTATGATAGAGCTGCCTGCATTAAAGCTGATATAATACCAAAAGAGTAACAGTATCTTGTCCCTTGTGTTTTTCTCTGTAGATTGGCAATGCTAACCCAGGCATTCAGAAAATCCTTGATGTGCTGGATTCCATTAAAACAAAGGTAAAATGGCATTCTCTGCCACCTCATTAGGGTACCTACTTTCTTTTTTTAAAAATAATTTAATTTAATTTAATTTTTTATTATTAATTTTTAAATTTGACTAGAGAGAGACAGAGAGACAGAGAGACAGAGAAAGAAAGTGAGAAAGTAAGCCACCAGATCTGGGATTTGAACTGTGGTCAACCATGTGGGAGTCTAGTGCCTTAACCACTATGCCACCTGCTTGTCCCAGAGTACCCACTCTCATTGGTTGTAAAAAATTCTATTGATCATGTTGAATAGTCTCACAGACATATGATGTTTGATTAAATAAGCTAGAAGATAAAATATTACTTACGCATTTATGAACTTTCCTTTCTCCAAAAATGGATCCTAATGCTAGTATAATTTTAAGACTTAAAATTCTGAGACTTGTATTTATTTAATCTTGTTTCTCCTAATTTGACTATTCATATATAAGGATCAGAGAATCATGTGATTGCAAGGAGGGAGAGAGCCTCCAATTATGCACTGATCCATACAGCAGCAAATATTTGTTGAGCGCTTACAATGTGCCAATTATTTTGCTAACTGAGGAGATACAATGATGAACAAGAGAATAAGACCCTACTTCCTGGAGATTTATATTTGACGACCTCTTTGAATTCACCTACCCTGTGTTTTAAATCCTCAACAGCATAACTATGTTGAAGTAACAGAGCATCTGGTTAAACACTGCAGTCACTTCCAGGGGTTGGGAATCTATTTCCACTGGCAACCTTGGCTTTACAAAGCTCATTCTCAAACTGAAGCAGCATCTAGTTTCTGAAATGCAGACCCATGACTCCTAACTTGACTCTCTTGAAGCATATAACATATACCTGATCCTTGTTCCTTGTGGCCCTCCTCTATCTTGCTCTCACAGCCTGTCACTTACCCACAGGCTAATTATCTTTAGATCATTCTAGCTATTCCCATATGATATAATTTTCTTTTTGCAATGACCTTGTGACTCTTCCAGTAACTCATTCCTGTTTATGTCTGTTGTTTAAAAGTGTGGGGTCTCAAACTAAATTTGAATATTTACTTCTGACATAGTTATGTACTAGGAGAGGGAGACAAACATTCTCATCAAGGATACTATGTTCCTGTTACTGCAACATGAAATGGTATCATCTAAGGGCAGCAGTGTCACTTTAAATACCAGATTTAATCAGTTAATACTTAATGGAAAATTTAAAGGATTGTTGTAGAAGACAAAATTATGGCGGTGGGCATGGGAAAATGATGAGTTTTTCTTGCTCTCACCTGCCAATCTATATTTTCAAGTCAAATGTTTTCTGTTAATTTGTTTTCATTTTGTTTGCCAATGAATAGAGAACTTTTATTTTTAAAAAATGTTTTCTGGCTCTCAGAGGTAAATACACCTGTTTATATCTCCAACTTTCCTGCCTTCCTCCTACTGTGATCATGTGGCAATTAAAAATATATATTTATTTTGTGAGTGACAGAGACAGTAACACAGTCAACAGGGTCCCACGCCATGAGCGCATTCTTCCCAGTCATCCAGGAGCACACCTGGCATGTACAGGTTGACTTGGGAACTGAAACTATGATCCTCCATATGGCTTCCACACCATTTGAGCAAGGTGCATTACCTCTGTGCCCAAGTCAGCCCTCAAGAAAATGCAGTTTCAACCGGTATATTTACTTCTTTTTTTTTTTTTTTTTGGAGCGGTTTTTGCTATAGGGTGCGTGCGCTCACCAGACAGACAGAGACAGAGAGACAGAAAGCGAGAAATCACTCCCTGGGGGGATGACCATGCTGCAATCCCTTCTCCTCCATTCTCCTCTCAGGATCTTGGGCACACACGCACACATGCCCGGTGTGAGTTCTAAGCCACCAGGTCCGGGATGCGAGATGTGAACCGCAGTCAACTACATGGGAGTCCAACAACATAGCCATTATGCCAACTACTGGTCCCTCAACTGTTATATTTACTTTGTTCCAGGGCAAGAGTGTTGACTTCACTAACTTTGATCCCCGGAGCCTCCTTCCTGGAGGACTGGAATATTGGACCTACCCAGGCTCACTGACCACTCCTCCCCTTCTGGAATGTGTGACCTGGATTGTGCTCAAGGAACCCATCAGCATCAGCAGTGCGCAGGTCAGTTTTCTATCGAGGTCTGTTTAGAGAAGGTAGAGCATTTAGTCCAGGCAGGAGAGCTTGGTCCTTGGAGTCAGACAGACCTGGAATTCGATCTCTCTTCTGCTCCTTCTAGCTGTGGGTCTAGGGCTCTGACAGTGCTCTGCAAAGCAACAGCACTCAGTGAGTATTTGCAGTTATTAGCTGTAACCGTCGGCAGTGTGTTCAGTCCGTAAAATTGGATAGCTGTTGTGAAGATTAAATGAGAAAGATGTGTGTCACCTGATCAATGTTTTTTTTTTTTTTTTTTAATCAGCTATGAGAAAATTGAGGCTTAGAAAATGAGCCTTATGTCCAAGTTGATGTAGATATGAGGGACAATTCTGAGCCTGCTACTCACTCATGTAAGCACTTCCTGCAGTTTTATGTGGATCAGAGAGCATTTCCGAATTCCGACAAAGATGAGAGTCATCGCTTGGAGAAAAAGTATCTATCAAAACTCATTCCAGGCAGCTTTAGAGGCTTAGGCCAGGGAATCTTCCATTTCCCATGTAAGAATACAGTCCTGCCATACAGTTTGTGAGGCTCGAGTGATTAATGCAGCTTCTGAGTCAGCGAGGAGCATGCACGAAGGGGATACAGACGAGCTTTACCTAGACCATCTCTTCACACAGTGTCGAAATGTAGAAAATAGATGTTGCTTAGGATTCACGAGCGGTTGGATTCTGAATAATTTAAGGAGTCAGCAGCCAACAGTTTTGAAAATGGTAACAACTTGAGTAGTTTTAGGATGACTTAACTACCAAAATGTGGGATCATAGAAGTTTAAAGCTGCAATGTGCAATAAAGGTTGTGTTTCCAACTTTCTCATGTCACTGGCTAGAACTGTGTTGATAAACTGAAGTATAGGAAAATTAAATGTTTCCTCCCACCAGCTACCTCATGGTGGAATCAAGGCCTGGAGCCTAGGGTTCTACTCCTGGGTTCTTCCTTAGAATAGTAACTTCTGAGTAGTAAGAGGAAATATATATCTAAATGAAAATTTACTTGTGGTATATCAAAGTGGGACCCAAAATAGTATGCCTAACTGAACTGTCACTTGAAAATTGTCCCGTAGTCATACCATTTGGGGGAGCTTCTTGAAGTAGTAGCATAAGTAAAGATTACAATGCCATTTCTTATGTGTCGATGGAGTGTTTACATTATAATTTAAAACATGAAAACTCTTTTTGTTCCTTCACTGGAAGCAATCCCACTTGAGATCCAGAATTTGACACCAAGAGCTGTTATAACAAATGGATTTATTTTGTACACACACAGCCATACACACAAACACATATAGGCAAGGAAATAGATCATACTCCATTAGTGTCTGTGCCCTGAATTCGCCATAAGGTAATGTCTACCTTAAGTAGAAAATGATATTAATGTGGAGGTAGTCACTTTCTATATTGGCCAAATACCAATAGGGTTTTGTTTGTTTGTTTAATATCTTTTATAACATGGAATCTGGAGGTAGGGTCATGCTCAGCTTGGGAAGCCAGAACTTTGGTTCCTTCATTTTGTAATACTCTTGACTTTGCCTTGCCCATTGGTGCCTTCATCCCGTAGGGGTTGCAAGAGCACTTTGAGCATCACATCCAGAGACAACCACCTCTCAGGGAGGAGGGAAACAGTTCTTCCATTGGTTCCCTTGGAGCGGAGAAGTCTTTCCCTGAAGACACCTAACAAACCCTTTGCATCTCACTGGCTAGGATTATGTTTCTTGCTCACTTCCAGCCTAGTCCCTAGCAAGGGAATGTGATCACCATGGTCAATTAAGATTTACCCCCATGAGGCTTCCAGGGGGAGAGCTGATGTCTGCTAATAAGAAAGAATCAGGGGACGAATGTTAAGTAAGCAATACAAAGGAGTCTGCTACATTTTGCTACCTTATTTTCTGCCCTCAGGTTTTGACTCTGTGACACTAAAATAAGGAATTAAATTGACCATCATTTGGTAGAATAGAAATAAGTTTTACTGTTTTGATCAAGTTAGATCTGACTGAGTGCACCTTATAAAGAATCTCTCCTTCAGATTATCGAGATTCTGTTGTTAGGAATCAAACCTAGATATCCTTCAAAAGTTCCCTTGCATTGCAGCAGTGGCCATTGTGCGTGTTACTGTACTGTACTCAGTCTACATCAGAGTTGACTGTGGGAATGATTGAGCAATATTACTGGACAAAAGACATCCTGTGTGCTATACCTCTGCCCAAATTGTCCTTCTGTATTTAGTTGAAATCTTCCTTAGGGGGAAGGAAGTGTACAACTTTATGAGAACCTTGTAAAAGTAGGAGACCAGAAGGTTGAGGGCTGCCTATGTCAGTGTTGGGCCAGGAAACTGAAACAAGTTTTAAAAGGAGTAAAAATCACACAACAAGGGGCTGAATCCTAGCTCGGGCAATTTTGTCCTGTGTTTTTATATATTGAAGCAGAGATGCCAGCTTATCCTCGACCCATGGAGCTTACAGATCCTGAATCACTTCATCTCATTATATAGAAGCTGTGTTCTGTGTTCTCTGGTACAGAAAACACACCTTTAATTTGGAACTAGAATTGTTATTATACATTTTGGAGGTATGAGTTCATAGATTTTGGATGTTTGATTTTAAAATAAGAAGAAAAGCTCACTGAAAGTTTCCTCCAAATGGTACCAACAATTTTCTCTATTTTATATAAATTGATTTGTTGTGTGAAAGCATATCTCTCACTCTGTCTCTGTCTTTCCTCTCTCTCTCTCTCTCTCTCTCAATTCACAGTACTCTGAATCTTGGGGAATGCATTTCAAGATATCAAACAAACACATGAGTGAAACTATTATAAAATTTTCACTTTGAACCTTTATATGCTTATTGCATTTTTTAGATGTCGAAATTCCGTGAACTGATGTTCAACGGTGAGGGAGAACCTGAAGAACTGATGGTGGACAACTGGCGCCCAGCTCAGCCACTGAAGAACAGACAAATCAAAGCTTCTTTTAAATAAGATGGTCCCAGAGCCTGTGTCCAACTGATACAACTTTAGGTGTTTCTCTTTAGCCAAACGCAAATATACCTTGGTGATTTGGACCCTAGCCATTTGTGTCCGGTTTCTAGACCCTTCATCTCTCACCTGTCGTACTTACTAATAAAATGTGAAGAACTAGACCAATGACAGAATTGGTATGACTGGTTGGTGCTTTGCTTATGGTAGCAGCTTTTCTGTAAAAGAGAATATAATACAAAGAATAGGGATAAAGATCTTGGCTTCATTCACAGCATATAGAACGATGGATGCTCATAATTGTTCATTAAAATGCTATTTTTAAAACATAGGAAAATAGAATGGTTGAGAGACGAGTGTATCATGAGATAAGCCAGTTAAGGCAAATCAGGTAAAATAGTCATGATTCTATGTAATGTAAATTAGATAAAACAAATGTTCATGATTCCATGATGTTATATTAGAGAACATTTTTAAAATGATTATATATTTGTAGCAAAGTTATATTAAATATGAATTATGTTGTAATTTAGTGACTTTTGAATTACAAAGTTATCAATGAAATATCTATAAAAATTGTTATAATTATAGTTGTGATACAGAGTATATTTCCATTCAAATAATATATCATAAATTAATAAATATTGTATTTTAGATATATTCTCTAATAAAATTCTAAATTGTATTTTGTATTTTTTTTTGTCTCTTGGACAGTTGGTAATAATGGAGGAGTAAGTGTCTACTATTATAAATCCTATTGACTCATTATTAATAGTCATTAGCTTACTCATATTTGCAGGAGTCTCCATAAAAGGAAAAACTCTTGAGGTTATTTACTATTTGCCAAGTGCTTTCTTTTTTTTTTTTTTTCTTCCTTTTTTAGAGAGGGTTTTGCTATAGGGCATGTGCGCTCACCAGACAGACAGAGAGAGACAGAGAGACAGAAAGCGAGAAATCACCCACCAGGGGGGATGGCCACGCCACAATCCCTTCTCCTCCATTCTCCTCTCGGGATCTTGGGCACACATGCACACACGCCCGGCGTGAGTTTAAGCCACTGGGTCCAGGACGCGAACCGCGGTCGACTACGTGGGAGTCCAGC